ACCTCTCCTGACCCGCCCGCTGCTCCCCTCAGCAGTGTATTTCGTCCATCTACCTGTTCTGTTCCCCACTCTGTCTCTGGTGAATCCTCTCACCCTCCACATCTCTGGCCTGTACCCCAGTTCTATATGAATAAATAAATAAATCTTTAAAGAAAGAAAAAAAAAACGGAACATAAATTTCGTCATTTCTAAGGTTGCTTTTCCTATGGGAGTTCCCTCTCCTGGAGCCCTTCCCCTCTTGTGCAGTCTAAACCAGCTTCTCTTCAGCCCATTGCATAGATGTCAGTATTGGTTAACACTCTTCTTTATTTGGTCATTTGCTTTATCTTTCTCTTGTCAGAACCCTGTTTCTTTCTTAGGTCCACTGTCTTTTCCCTTATTTGCTCTGAACAAGGCTAAACATAATTTTTTGCCTTCAGATAACTCTGAAAAAGAATGTTTCTCTCCCCCCTTCCCTCAATCTAACAGCTATTTGAATGGATAGGAGTTGAGGTTGAACATGATTGTCCTTAACTTTTTTTAACTTTCTCTTTCCCTCATCATTGGCATGGATTTTATTCCACACCATTGTACTAAGAAGCTAAGTGGGAAATCTGTGAGCCTGAGAAGGTCTCGCTACAGGCATTTGAGAAAGGCTAACCATATCATTGTGACCCCTAAATATAAGACATCTATGTACGCAATGCATCTATCGGCTCCTGCTTGGGAGGTAGTTTTGGCCACCAGAAATCAAGGAACTTAGTAAAGGCAGGTTAAGAGCGAGAGGCTGGCTTACTGCTTCTGACTGCTACTTATCACTCACTTTTACTCTGACATTGTACCAGCCTTTAGTGCCAAGTCCAGGATTCTTCCAAAGAGAATCCTTCTGGAACTGGCAAGAGGCAAACATCTAATTTCCTAGCCTAGAAGGGAAAGACTGGGAGTTTAGCAGCTCTCTATATAGACTTTCAACCAGTCTTCCCATTCATACCATTGCTGTGCAGTCTTGCCATCAAAGTCTAGACTTTCAGAACCAAATTGTTTCTTCACTCTCCCTTCTGCTGAAATTAGTGTCAATGTTGTGTCTTATGCTAACTTACCACTCAACCTCTCTCTGCCTTATTACAAGTTTTTTTAAAAAGTTTTTATTTATTTATGCATACAGAAATAGTGTACAGGCCTGAGGTGCAGGGGTGGTGAGAGGATTCACCAGAGACAGAGGGGAGAGCAGAGCAGGCAGATCTACAAAATACACTGCTAAGGGGAGCAGCGGGTGGGTCAGGAGAGGTCTGCCTCGCCATGTGGATCTCCTCCGGGGCAGGCAGGGATCGAACTTATGTGGAAGTGGCTTAAGCTTCTTTGTGCTGTGCTTTAACCCGCTGTGCCACCAGGGAGGGCCAGTAGCAGTTTTTAAAAAACCTTTTCTTCTTCCCCTCCAGTTTCAAGGCCTATTTTGGTCAATAATTATCCTTAGATGTTTACATTTCAAAGATTAGTACTTCCAAGGGACTGAAAAAGATTGCAAGTTTCTCTAAGAAGGAACTTAGTGGTACATCTGCCTGTTATCAGAAATCTAGGGTAAGAACTATTTCCAAACCTTTTTTTCTCCCCAGAAGAAAGTGTTGGTTGTCCAGTGGAAACCCCAATCATAGGAAGGTCTGGTCACGGGCAACTCTCCTTACAAAATAAGGTCAATAGGTGTAGCCTTCCTGTGTGTTCTGGATCTCTGTGAAAGCAATTTCCTGGCCATCAGATTTTTCATAAGCTCCACACTTGCTTCAGCAGCTTTCACAGTTTTTGAACTTGCTTTAAGTCTGTTTTTTTTTTTCTTTTTTTTCTCCCTGACACTAGCCAAAGCATTCTTCTTTATTTCTTCTTTTTTTTCTTCTTCTTCAATTTATTCTTCCCCTGGGTACCAATAGGACATTTGTTTAGGATTAGAGCAAGGTAAAAGTCCTTTTAGGTGTAGGAACCCACATCTTCAAAAGAATACCTTTTCTAGTTGTGCTCCAAACCAATAAACCTTTTGTTGTTTAACCATGGACACAAGAAGTATCCTCCAAAGGGATGCAGATGACATGAACCTCTCAAGATCCGGAGTCATTCCAAAGATGAGCCTAAGAAAATAAAAACTTTGATTGTCACTAGTGATATACACTTCAGTCTCCTCCAAAGTGAGACACTGTGGAGACAGCCTGGTGTTAAGCATCATCAGGTCATTATGACCTCTGAATACCTGTATATATAGAATTAGATTTAAACTGGTGGCTAGCCCAATGAGCCTGAATATTTGAATTCATTTTCTTAACTCACCATCAATGTAAAAACACAATGGTTTAATATAAATCTAAGTTGGCCCCCCACCCCGGTGGTGGAACAGGTAGCACCATGAAGCTCTCCGAAGCCACTGCAGCATGAGTTCAATGTCCAGCCGTGGAGCTGACCCACATGGCGCGGCAGACCACTCCTGACCTGTCCACTGCTCCCCTCTGCAATGTGTTTCAGTAAATCTGCCTGTTCTGCTCCCTACTCTTTCTCTGGTGAATTTTTTCACCCATCCACCCCCCACACGTCTAGCCTGTACTCCAGTTCTTGTATGCATATGTAAATAAATCTTTTTTAAAAAATTAAGCTATTTGACTGCTAATAATTGCTAACTAGAAACTTCTACAAGGTACCACTAAGTTGAAAAATTTCTGGGCCTAAGAATTTGGGCACTTCCAGCCTCAACCACATGCTTGCTTATGAGCCCAGGAGCAGCTATAGCTTAGTGGTGAAAGTTTTAGGGATTTGGATCCCAGCTCACTAACTTAGTATCTCTGTGAACACAGATGTTACTTAATTCTCTATGCTTCAGTTTCCTTGCCTGTTAAATGGAGACAGAAATTCACACTGCATAGAATTGTTGTAAGAACTGAGATGCTACATGCATAGTATTTATGAGATTGCATGGTACATTTGTAGCACTCAGTAATTGCTAACTAATCTCCTAAAAAAGCCAAAAGGTAGAGACAACAAGACCTGTGCACTGGGACCCTTTATTAAAATAGACTCCCTTGGGCCCTCCCTGGTGGTACAAGGGGTTAGGCAAAGCTAGCCACAGCCGCTTCAGCATGAGTTTCATCTCTGGCTAGGGAGGTGACCCACATGGCACCTCGCCAGCTGTACCACTCAACAGTGTGCTTTGTGTATCTGCCTGTTCTGCTCCCCACTCTGTATCTGGTGAATCCTCTCACCCTCTGTTTTGGTGAATCCTCTCACCTCTCCCCACCTCTGGCCTGTATCCCAGTTCTCTATGCATAAATAAAGTAAATCTTAAAAAAAAAAGACAGTCTCCCCTGAGAGTTGGCTTTATTGGAAAAAAGTCAAGTTGCTTGTCACTCCCTGTCTTGGGCTTCTCACTGGCTGGCTAAGCACCCAATCCATCCTAATAGTCTGCACCCAGCTAAGAGGCAGAAAACAAAGAGGGTATTATAAGTGGTTCCAAAGTCAAGTTCTCAGAACATAAAACAAGACTCATGGAGAATATTATGTTCTCGTGTGACAAATGACGCACAAGACAGGGACAAAGGAAAACATGAATATTTCTGGGATGCTGAGATTAATAACCAATGGATATCCAAAGCCAAATTCACAAATACACATTTCAGAGCCTATTTTTACAAATATTTTCTTCTGTCATTATGAATTTGGGAAAAAAGGGGCATTACAGACAGGTATTGGGAGATGGACATGGTAAGAATGTTTACCTTCTGGTACCTTATCAGTTACCCTATAGTCCAGCTGCAGTTCCCAGGGAGGATGGAGAATTCCAGCTTCTTACTGTCCCATCCTCATCACCAGAACTGTATGGAACGAAAAAACATGTATTTTTCCTGATATCGTTCTAGAATCTCAGGCGGGAGGGACTCTGTAAGAAAAGATAAATTAAAGAGAAAAACAAGCAAGTTTATTAACAAACATATCTCATAGATACTTAGGAGAAATGCAGGGATAACAAAGACCTTGGGTTTTTTCCTCACATTAGTCAAGGCATTTATTTGTGGTTCTTTCCCCCCCCCTACTTTAATTTTCCCTTACTATCAAGCATGCCAATTGGATATTCGTTTAGATTGCAGCCAAGGGAAGCAACTGTGTGAAGGGTAACATATGGGGAACCAATGGAAGATAATCGCTAGTCAGTAAAATTTATGATGTAGAATCTTCCAGTGTTGTCTGAGGACTGTTAAGCATCTAGAATTGTAAGTGACTAGCTTCTATACACAATTTATTTTGATTTCAGATAAACGGTAAGAAGTCAATTTCTTTTTTTTTTTCTGTTTCTTTTCAGTTGGCTCAAAATAATGTTATGCCCAAGGGGTAGGTTCTGGGGTAGCATATTTTGCCACTCTTTTGTAGTATTTGATTATCAAGCTTCCTTGATTTATAATGAGCCTTTATTTTCTAACATGGGATGTGTGGCAACTGTTCATGTGACAGCTCTTTATAACAGGAAAAGATTTAATTGATAAATAAAATTATGATAATAACAAAAAAGCTGGAGTAGGAATCTGGCCGAGCAATAGGCAATGTGGCAGTTTTTTTCTGTGGAATATATATATGAGTATAAAATTATGAATATGTTCATATATATAATTTTAAGTGAAAAAGATGATTAGGTCCTATTAAGTGCACCGAAAAAAATTATAAAAATGAGTGTTAATCAACGGTCAGAGTTTTTCAGTTGTGTAAAATGTTCATTTGGGGTTTTTTTTTCTTATAGTTACTCAAATGATAATAAAGAAAGAAAGCTCTTGATTTGGAAACAGTGCTACTTCCCAGTTCTTTGTCAGCTAGTTCTTTAAACTGTGTCATTTCATCATTTCCATGTAGCTTGACTTTAGCACATCAGAATAAATCTCTTCAAACGTTAAAAAAAATATATTTGAAAAACTCAGTCAACCCACAAACCTTTCCTGTTTTCCTTATATCTCAAAGGGTGGAGTTGCCAAACCACAAGAGGAAAAGGAAGTTAAACGCATTAAATACCAGGGACCACTCAGGTTGGTCAGCTGGACATCTGGCTTCCCAGGCAACATGAAGGCTTTCCTTATTCTGGGGTTACTCCTCTTTGCCATTACTGTCCAAGGCAAGGTCTTTGAAAGATGTGAGTTGGCCAGAACTCTGAAAAGATATGGACTGGATAACTTCAAGGGAATCAGCCTGGCAAATTGTAAGTTGAATTCATACTTCCAAATAGCCAGGTGTGGGTAAGATATCAAAAGGTGAAGTATAAGAATGGTTATTTGAGTGAATGGACTTTTGAAATTTTTTTGAAAGCTTGTTTTCTTTCATTCCTTAAAAACATCCAATTGGGGGGAGGCGTGAAGAAGGGAGAAGAAGAAAGGAAACACCATGGTCTGTGGTGGGTGGAATATTGTAACTGGTGAAATACAGGGGAGTGTGTGGTGGTGATACCTGATGGGGGTATCCTCAACTACAAATTTAAAAAAAAAAAAAAAACGAGCATCAAATTGTTCTTTTAAAATCAGGCACACCCAAAGAAAGAGTGAGGAGGGCGCAGCAAGTGAACCAGGACTGCTCACACGCCTTGTGCCAGCTTTCACTGACTCGGCATCTGTAGGCTGACTGAAAGATATATTGGAGGGCTCAGGGTAGCTCTGTCAAATTCGAGTACTTGACTCAAGTCACTTCCACTTGGGAATTTGGATTCTGCAAACCTAGAGTAACACAGTGTGTTTCTTTTTATAAAGCAAAGTTTTAAAAAGTTATGTTGAGTTCTTAATACTAGAGCAGTAAGAACCTATTTCCTGTCTCTCACTGTTAAGGCAATCTCTGAAATGCAGTATAAAATGTCCTGTATTTCTGACTCCCAGTTAGTTAATTAAGTACTTTTCATTTTCCTCCATAAAACTCATGATGTGCCCTGAATAAAAGTTATGTTATACTTAATAACTATTTATCAGTGCATCACAGTACTTTTTTAGACTGAATTCGAACATTTCCCCTTGACTATTAATGCTTTTTAATGAATATGTGGATATATATGTGAATAGATAAAGCAATGCATCTATCCTTTTCTTTAGCTTGTTTTTCAATTCTAATGTGATATCCAAATTCATTTTCAGGTATTATAAGAAAATGTTTCTCTGAGAAAATTCTTATTTTCCTAATAAAAACCATTTTAATCAGCATATATATTTGCCATTAAATGAAAAATGTATTCAACAACTCTGTGAATTTTTCTGTTCTAGGCTGAATCTTGCCTGAGTCAGGACTCCCTCAGGGAGTGGGGAATGAGTAACAGCAGTAATAGAAACAGTTATTTTAATATTTTTAAGTGTGTTATCTTACTTCATTGGTATTAAAAACGACTTGCTAAAAAGAGGATTCTATTAAGGACCCTTTAACACTGAATTATAATGTATTTTACAAATAAAATGCTTCTTTATACTTATAAATTATTAGAAAAGCAGAATTGATTAAATAAACTGATTATGATATGCAGTATAACTCACCTGTTGCTGCTTATTACTAAAAATAAGTTCTTTTCAGGGATATGCTTGACTAAATGGGAAAGTGATTATAACACACGAGCTATAAACTATAATCCAGGAAGCGGAAGCACTGATTATGGGATATTTCAGATCAATAGCCGCTACTGGTGTAATGATGGAAAAACCCCAAAGGCTGTCAATGCCTGTGGTATATCCTGCAATGGTAAGACAATACCTTTATTGTAAGACAAGCTAGAGATTCAGTGTAAATGAAACAGTCTTGACCTAGAAAAACTCCACCTCAACTTCTAGAAACTGTTATTGTTCTCATAAATCCTTAGGTAAGAACTTAGTATAATAAAAGGTTGCTATTTTCTAACACATGAATGTTCCTGGGATGACCATTAATTTATTATAAATGGACTTACTGATATTTTATCAATAAGAGTGCAAGTCCTCCAACTTATTTTGTGGAACTTGGAGGATAATTTGGTTGGTTAGTCCTTTTTTTAAAATTGTTTTTATTTTCATTATAAAATGTTCTAAATATAGAGAAAATTGGAGGTATTTGTATCATAAATGGCCACATTCCCATACCTATTGTGTTATGTTAAGGTTGTTACCCTTTTTAATTTTTATTTCTTTTCTGCAGACTTCTTTTATGCTGAATGACTTTGACTAAATAAGAAATAGGACATTCCATTTCTTTTTTTTTTTTT